CTAATGGAATCTTAGAGGTATCTTATGATTTTTTGAAGATTTTATTTATTTATTTGAGAGAGAGAGAGCATGCACACAAGCCGGGGGAGGGACAGAGGGAGAGGAAGAGAATTCAAGCAGACTCTGCACTGAGCACAGAGCCCATCTCAGGGCTTGATCTCACGACCCTGAGATCATGACCTGAGCCACAACCAAGACTCAGACGATTAACTGACTGAGCCACCCAGACATCCCGAGGTATCTATGATTTTGCAGAGTTTATTTTTTGTTTTTGCGTTTTTTTTCACTTCATTTTTTATTATTTTTTTATTAACATATATTATTTGTTTCAGGGGTACAAGTCTTCATTCATCAGTCTTACACAATTCACAGTGCTCCATACCCTCCCCAATGTCCATCACCCAGCCACCCCATCCCTCCCACCCCCCTCCACTCCAGCAACCCTCAGTTTGTTTCCTGAGATTAAGAGTCTCCTATGGTTTGTCTCCCTCTCTGGTTTTGTCTTGTTTCATTTTTCCCTCCCTTCCCCTATAATCCTCTAACTTGTTTCTCAAATTCCTCGTATCAGTGAGATCATATGATACTTGTGTCTTTCTCTGATTGACTTATTTTGCTTAACATAATACTCTCTAGTTCCATCCATGTCATCGCAAATGGCAAGATTTCATTTTTTATGGTTGCATAATATTCCTGTGTGTGTGTGCGTGTGTATACACCATCTTTATCTTTTCGTCTGTTGTGATTTCACAGTTTTAATTGTTAGTTAAGAACAGAGACAAAAAAAGAGAAAAAAGAAAAGAACAGAGACAGAGTGGGCATGGAGTAGAGAATGCTAGGGATTTTAACATGGGTACTATGCCGTTGTTTTCCTCAGAGTTTGTTGTGGGCGTCCAAAGTTATCTGGATCACAGTCCTTCTCAACTCTCAGTCACTAGAAATCCTCCCATTTCACTTAAAAAGCTGTCCTTATGAGCTATAATTTTAAAGAAAATGCAGACGGGGGCAGGCATTTGACAGTGTATGTTCATGAACAGGGGAAGGGGGAGACAACAGGATCACATACACAGGTGTGAATACTGGCTTTATATAGGAATGCTGTTCATTCACACTAATAGGAAGAAAGTTAGAGTATATGGGTGCACTGAAACCTGGTTGGTTGCTCAGGTTGTGGGAAAGCTTGTGAAAACACTCTTCTAATTGCTTCCATTTTCACAGTCAAGTGGGAGGCAAGGTCTTCAGCTGAGAGTGAAAGAGAAGAGATGTTAGAGTCTGAGAAGCAGGAAGATGTGGCTAAGTAATTTAATCATCCAATCTGGTGAAAGAGTAAATAGATGAGGGGAATGCAGTGCAGTTGCCAGGCAGAACCAAGGCAGTGGCCATTCATTTAAAGTGAGACTAGTTATTTTGTTCATGTGTATTTTTTACCAATGTTCATCTCTTAAAACAGCTTTAACCAAGATTGAGGTTTTGCCAGGAGATTATGATGAAGGGTGAGAGGGTCAGGCATTGATGGTGTATATATAGGAGTGGCTACTGGCAAAGGTAAGCTTTTCTCTTGAAAGGTTGTGGACTCCTAAGTGGAGATGGCAGATGCCCCTTCTTTCTTGTCAACTTTATTTTGTCCATTGGCTCCCAGATTATACTTTCAAGTACATGGCAGAGAGCTGACTGTGTCCAGAAAGGTTGTGGATTTGGGGAGGTTTGGCTATCTAGGACTACATCAAAGTTTTATTGAGGCAAAACAAAGTATGTGTTCACGATTCACTTTCTAGATAAAGAAAATTTTCAAGTAAACTGAAACTTAGGAATTTTGGCAGCATATTAGAACTACAAGTTTCCTGGAATTTTAGCTGCAGCAGTAAATCTAGCTTTCTATTTCTTCTCCTTTTGTATGTTTTCCTCTTATAAGCTTCTGTACATTGCTTATCTGCTTGATGAAGAACATGTACAAATGCCCATTTTGTGGTCATAGTGACTAGGATCCACTCTCGAGATTAGACCAACATTACTCTAGAACAAAATCTCAGCACCCAGAGTTTGCGGACCTCTCTATAGAGGTATGCCAACTGTCAGCATCTCTGTTCTTGCTCAGACCTCTGGGACGGATCTCCAATGATCCCTGCCTAGATGTGGTACCACTCTGGCTTGTCCGTTGTAATCGCAAGTCTGCAGTCCCATGATGTAGGTGCAGCTGCTAGAGGCCCCACTCTGCGAACTGCCAAAAAGAGATAAAGTTGTCCTTAAGGAAAAAAATCATAAGTTCAGCAAGCACTCCCAAATGTGACTAAAACAAAATTCTAAATAGTATTTTAAGGTCGTCCCTGTTTCTGAAATTAGCTGTGTTTCTTTAGAAAATTTTGCTGACTCTTCTACTAAGTAAGGTTCAGTCTTTCTGTAGTCCAATTCTCATCTGGCCGACGATCTTTTTCATTCAGGACACATAATGTAGGGATCTAGATTGTGAGCACAGCAGTTGGTTGTTGGTGGACTCTCTTGGCACCTGATTAGGTCAATGTTACCTTTTTTTTTGCAGTGTCCCCAATGTACTGTATTATCATCACAGCGACAGTGATAACCAGGCCACAAGGCCTGGTGAGACACTTTTTTTCTCTCTCTGTTATAGGGATGAAACTGCCGAATTGATGGTACAGACATAGACCAGTGTCCCCATGTGCAGAGGAGAAACATGGCTAAATCCTTATAATCTAAGCACTCATTTTCCATGCCCACTACCACTGTCAACCGGCTCGTACATGTTATTTTTTCCATTTCAAGACACTTTTAGTACAATTTCATTATAGATTGACATTTATAAACTGGTTTATACAGAATGCATTTCACATAAGTTCTACCCTAATGTCAGATGGGAAAGTAGAATAACCAGATGAGTAAACTGTCTCCAATTCCAACTTCTAGGAAGTTTGCCTATAGACTTGAAATGCCATTGATGGAATTTAGACACTAATGACCTTTAATTCCAAAAGACCTGAGTATCCTTGACCTTATTTTCTTGACCTTCCATTACTACATCTGTAGCTACTGTATGGGGTCTGCAGCATTGTTTATTAAACACAAACACTAGACATGAACAATTTTTAGTTGCATTATGTACCTAGCAAAGAGTATTATATGTATGGTAGGTGTTAAATATTTGCTGAAATAAAGTAAAATTTTAAGTATATACATTTTATCACAAATGTTCCATTTTTAGAAGAAACAAAAAATTAAAAGCTAATGAGATTATTTATGTGAAGAAATTGCAAGAATAGCCTCTCAACCTAAACCCTACTGTTGGCCCATTCAAAAGCTCACAAGGGCCTTAGGTTATAACATAATGGGTAAAGCCTCCCCCTCAGATCTCTGATAGCCCCTGGCAATGTTGTAGAATATTCAGTATCACATAGAACCTCGAGTCAACTTTCAAAGCTGTGGATTCCTTTATGTCAGCTTCCACTATAAAATAATAACCTTTGGTATTTTTTGTTCCTTCATCAATCAATCTGTGCTAGAATTCTGGCCACAGAACTCATAGATTTTTGGTTGATATAGGATCTTATGTTTACTAATAACTGTCTTGTTGATGTCTTTCATAACATCGTTAATTTAATAATAGGTTAAGCGAGATTTCATACATGCAGGAGTACCACTGAACTCATGAGTTATAAATGGCATTTCTTTAATATTCCTTTTGATGAGGGAGTGGAAGCCTAGCTGAGGACAAAGTATAAGCTGACATCCTACAACCTAACGACCCCCAACTCCTGGGTGGGATATGTGTGATGTTTCTCCAGGGAGCTCCCACTGTCTTAACCCCTTAATGTTAATACTTTGCTGGAGGTCAAATGGCAAGGCCTCCTGTATCCTGTGAGTCTTCTTTAACAAATGAAAATCCTTTTGAAAACCTCCCTTTTCCTTACCTCCCCCAACTCCCAAGTATATAATCTGCCACCCCTCACAAGCCCTGTGCAGCAGCTCTTTCTGCCCAGGGGTCCTGTCCCCGAGCTTTAATAAAACCAGCATTTTGCACCAAAGATGTCTGAAGAATTCTTTCTTGGTCATCGGCTCTGGACCTCACCCCAATGAACCTCACCTGTATTCCAAAACCACATCACTTAAAAAAACAAAACAAAACAAACAAAAACTTTCTATTTTTTTTTTTTTGGATGTGTGTGTGGTGGGGGGATGGGGTAAACTAACCCCATTCTTTGCTTTCCCCTCCCTTCCTCTCTGTAAAATGAGTAAATACAAGATCACCCAGAAACAAAGGCCTTCTTCACTTAAATTGCTGCTATGGCCTGGGGATAGCTTTAGCTGAGTATCTGGAGTTTTTCCTAGTATTTTTTTTTTTTTTCCCACTCCACAGGATCCTCAGGCTGGTTTTGCAGGGGGAGGGGGACAGGCTTTCCTTTAGCTTGATCATGCTTTCAGGACTTCCCCAGCTGAATGTTTTGTTTTGTTTGTTTGTTTTTTGAGAGAGATAGAAAGAGAGTGACAGGGTACGGATGGGGAGAGGGAGAGAGAGAATCTTAGGCAGACTCCCCACTGAGCGCAGAGCCCAACACAGAGCTCGATCTCACAACCCTGAGATCACAATCTGAACTAAAACCGAAAGTCGGATGCTCAACCGACTGAGCCACCCAGGCGCCCCTGCCTTCAAAGTTTTGTTTGTAAAATGTGCTCAGCATTCAGCTATATTGAAAATAATTAAAAAAAAAAAAACTGGATTAATATTATGTGATTTTTGAATTAATACTGGGCAAAAATAGGCCTTATTAGTGATTAGTATAATGTCTGATTATGTTAATGTTCACTACCTTTCCCTATCTTTGCCTCTCCCTTCCATTCTAAAACATAAAAAACCATTTAAATTCTTAATCATTATTGAATGTTGGAACTACTGAGTGTGTTTTTTACCTGTGGTAATACGGAAGATTGTTCTAGAATTCTGGAAACTAATAATGTAGTAGGACCTAAAATCTAATGTTAGGAGATTCAGGGTTTTAAGCCTCTTCCTGTGGGAGGAGTTTCCATCTAACTGTTGTATCACCTTCATCATCAAAATTTCCCAGATCCTGTTCTTTAGAGAGTTCTAAGAATACCTAAGTAGGGAGAAAATAAATAAGGAAACAAAAATGTCAGGGTGTTTCTGAAAGACAATGTGCGCAGAGACTCACACAAAGGCTCCCTGGATGGTGCTCACTGGTTTAAAGAAAACTCACCTGTTCCAAGGTAGCCTGAGAGGGGCTGTATTCTTCCATATCAAAGGTCTGTTTCACTGCATTGAAAGGGACTGACATTAAAGGCTTACATGTTTTTCACCAAAAGTGCTTAACGACTGAGCCACCCAGGTGTCACATTCTTGCTCCTCACACCTCTGACTATGATAAATATGGAGATGCAAGAAGCTCAACTCAGTATTCTTTGGGACAACATGTTGATAATTATTCTCCAATACCATGCAATGGAACCAGGGCAGAATATTCTAACTTACTTGCAGCTGAGTCTCCTTGTTAGCAGAGGAAAAATCAGGTGGAGTAAACCTGAGTGTAGAGCCACCACTACACTCCCTATAGAATATATAAGACGAATCCAGTGGAGATTTTCTAAGTTTTGGCTGATTATGTACTTTTTCTACTTCAACTCATATAGTACATACTCCATGTGAAAATATGCACAATAGATAAAGTCTAAGTATGTCTAAACTTACCTGCCTCTAATTTGAAAAAGGCCCAAGATAGAGGGTGAACATCTTTTCCACAGGTAATTTATACACCATCAATGGAGGAATATCTGGGAGAAGGAAAAAGTCAGATTTATTGCAGTGTTACAATACTGGGGAGAAACTGATAGCTAAAAAAAAATTTGTTTTCTTTTTTTTTTTAAGATTTTATTTATTTATTTATTTGAGAGAGAGAGAGAGAAGGAGCAGAGGGAGGGGCAGCGGGAGAGGGAGAAACAGACTCCCTGCTGAGCAGGGAGCCCAATGCAGGACTTGATCCCAGGACTCCATGATCATGACCTGAAGGGAAGGCAGACACTTAACCGACTGAGCCACCCAGGCACCCTAAAAATTTCAGTTTTTTTTAAATAAAAAGGTAAATAGTTTAATTTGATAGAGCATGAATCTGAGCCAAATAACTTATCTTTAGTGATAAAAACCTGGTAACAACAAAAATCTGGTTGCTCTCAATTTAATGTTCAAGATAAATTCTGAAAAACTACTCTGATAAAGAATCTTTCATACTTAGCCCATGCCATCTTTCTTCCTGTGCTATATTTCTTACTTCCAAAAGCCAATACTTTAACATGCTCTCTGGAACACTTTCATCAAATTTTCCCCTCTGCTTTTAATTTTCAATCTCTCATAATATTAAAATCTGTTGAACTTTCGCTTATTAAAAAAAAAAAAATTCTTTCTTGACCTCCAGCTCCTCTCTTCCCAAATAAGTTCATTTGTGACCTCCATGTTGCACAACCCAGTAAACACTCATCCTATTTTTAAGACTTCTCAAAAGCATTAAATAAAGTTGTAGACATCCTCCTTAAAACTAACACACACTCTCAGCTCCTGAAATGACCAAAATTTATGACTTTCTAACCCACTAGACCTGCTCTGCTTAATATTTTAGCTACTATCTCCATGTGGCTATTTAAATTTAAATTAACTAAAATAAATAAAATTCAATCTCTTGGTCACACCAGCCACATTTGAAGTGTTCCATGGCCACATGTGGGTATTGGCTGCTATACTGGACAGCACGGACTTAGGACATTTCCAAAACTGCAGAAATTCTGTAGGATAGAACTGTTTTAGACACACTTGAATTATTTGTCATTATGGTTATTGTGGTGGTGGTAGTTTCCCCACCAGCTTTTCTTCCTCAATCCAGGCTCGATACTGAGAGTTCCTGGGGCCCATCCTAGACCTTCTCCCTTTTCCATCTCCCTTGTTGACTTCACCCACTCTCCTAACTTAATGGTCTTCTATTTGGTAAAAATGCTCCACATTGATGATTGCCTTTTCTTCTGAGCCAGAGCCCTACATCTTTGTATTCTGGCATCTCCACTTGGATATCTCTTTACACATCAACTATATGAGCTTTCTTTCCATCCTCTGCATGTATAAAGATTTTTTTTAAAGATTTTATTCATTTATTTGAGAGAGAGAGAGAGAGCACAAGCAGGGGGAGCAGCAGGCAGAGGGAGAGGGAGAAGCAAAGCCCCCCATTGAGCAAGGAGCACGATGAGGGGCTTGATCCCAGGGTCCCAGGACAATGACCTGAGCTGAAGGCAGACGCTTAACCAACTGAGTCACCCAGACGCCCCTGCATGTGTAAAGTACATCTTGACTTAAGTTCTTTGCACATTCTGTGTTCTCAAGAGTACCTCTTATCCCCATTCTTCAGTGGCCAAACTTTGCTCAGTCTTAAAGTCCTACTTTAATGCCATTTCCTCATTTCTTTGTATCTTCATTTCCTTAATGTCCTTGTCCCCCAAAGACTGTGAGCACCATAAGAATTGTCTCTATTTATTGACTAGTCTATACATGGTCTCCAGCATAGAGTAGGTATTCAAGAAGTATTTTTTTTTTTAATTTATTTATTTATTTTAGAGAGAGACTGAGCACAAGTGAGGGAAGGGGCAGTGGGAGAGAATCTTCAAGCAGACTCCTCACTGAGCATGGAGCCCAATGTAGGGCTTGATTCCACAACCCATGAGATCGTGACATGAGCCCAAACCAAGAGTCGGATGCTCAACCAACTGAACCACCCAGGTGCCCCTCAGTAAGTATTATTTAAAAAAAAAATGAATAGAGGTAATACATAAGAAAACCCTGTATATCTTTCTTTTTTTAAAAAGATTGTATTTATTTATTTATTTATTTAGTCATTTAGTTAGTTAGTTTAGGGAGAGAGTGTGAGCTGGGGGGGAGAGGCAGGGGGAAAGGGAGAAAGAGAATCCCAGGCAGACTCCCTGCTGAGCACTGAGTAGGACATGGGGCTTCTGCTCACAACCCTGAGATCATGACCTGAGCTGAAATCAAGAGTCAGAGGCTTAACCAACCGAGCCACCCAGGCGCCCCCCCCCATACTTCTTTAAATTCAATTCAATTTTATTCTGCTATTCACATAGGTTTGGTTATCCCTGCTTGTAACTGATACCTAACCACACACAAATTTAAAAGAACCATAGAGAGGATTAAATACCAATAATCAATTAATTTAGGATAGAGTCAATCTTTCTCAAGCAAAGGAGTGTGTGTTATTGGAGCTCTTGATGCAATTTTACATTCAGTAAAATGCTATAGGTTGATGCATAATTTTCATTGTCTATTAAAAAATATTAAGGGCCGCCTGGGTGGCTTAGTTGGTTAAGCGGCTGCCTTCAGCTCAGGTTGTGATCTCAGGGTCCTGGGATCGAGTCCTGCATCAGGCTCCCTCCTCAGCAGGGAGTCTGCTTCTCCCTCTCCCTCTGCCTGCCTCTCTGCCTGCTTGTGCTTCTCTATCAAATAAATAAATAAATAAAATCTTAAAAAAAATTAAATTCCTGGTTTTGTTTGTACTTTGTTTCTAATTTTTGAACCATTCCATCATTTACATACACAGGCACATGCGCACACACACAACTCATCCACCTTTTCTGAGATATGAAACACTCACTGAAAAAAACTCTTCAGTTGCTCTTTTTTCTATACATCCGAGTGACCTCCAAACAACTTGTTTTAAAATAAATAAGCCAGCTCAGCCTTTCTCTTCCTGTCCAGATTCATCCAAGACTAAATTGAGTGTGCTGTATACTTATCACCCAAGCCAAAAACGTCCTTTACCTTTCCTGCTGAGTAGCCTGTGGAAAGAGCTTCAGAATCTCTGTGTGGAGAAGCTCCACTCGAGTCGGGTCCTTCATTTTTATTTCTAGAAAATAATCTTTACCAAACTCGCTTTTCAGATGTTGAATGGAATCAATACACCTAATCCAGGGAAGAGAAAAAAAGAGTTGAAAGAAAAAAACATTGGTCTTTTAATTTCTTCCTCAATTGTAAAGGCAGAGGAAAGTGATCATAGATTGAGGAGCTGAAGAGCACCAGCTGGTCACAGTGAACTGTAATTCTCTCTGTGAGAACTTGGGGGCCAAGTGTGGGTGTGGACGGGCACCCACCTCAGCCTTCTGGACACCATGAAGGCCACTCGGTCACATACGGCCTCTGCCATGGCGTGGGTGGTCAGGAGGGCGCCCCCTCTGTGTTTTTAACAATGGCCTGGACTGCCTGCCTAAAGATAAAGTAAGGGGCTGTTTGCATTTAGAAAGTAATTTGGGAAAGCAGATGAACACAAAGAAGTATGAGGAATAATAGAAAATTCTGTATTCATTTACAAGAAAAAATCTTTGCTCTAGAGAGAAAGAAAAAAATTATACTGCATTATGTAATTACATTACCACATTAATTGGCTTCATAGAATGAAAAGTTGAAGATTGGGAAATAGTGAGTAAAATAATGTTTGTTTAAAAAGTTGGAGTGAAGAGAAACACCACATTGTAGGACTGTCCATAACTGAAGAATAAAAGAAGAAGAATGAGGCAGGGGAAGAGGAGTAAGAAAACGAAAATCAAAGCAAATACATGTAAGATTCTATTAGATTCTTAAAATGTCTATCTTTCCTTCCTTCGGGAATTTTGAGCACTATACTGAGTTTCACTGAATTAAATACTAGAGGATGTGAGCCTCAAAGATAAAATGGAGCAAATGTAAAAAAATATATTAACTTAGACTCATACTACTAACTCTACACTTAATATGACGCCTCTCACCACATTTGCTACTGCCCCTCGGGGTCCACCCCTGTGGCCGGCTTGTCCAGAATCACCACTGACAGGTCTCCCAGGATGCTCAGCACCAAGCACAGCTGGAAAGAGAGGAGCAGCACATCTGGCACTGATCTGTGGGGTGCGCAGAGTAACACGGAGCCCCCCTCCTACCTTCCTCTTTACTCCCTCAGATAAGACTTTGAGGGAATTTTAAGTTGTTCCTGGAGCTTGAGAGTTTCCATCAATCTGACAAAAAAAAAAACAAAAAACTCACTGTGATTATACACAAAGTGCATGTTCCTACCTAAACCAACAATACAGAAAACCTTAGCACCATCAACCTGAAAATAGTATATTAAAGTATATTAAAGGACCATTAACATCATCACAAACACTAAATCTTATGATTTGGTTCTTCTTCAGATTTCCCATCATTTTATTTGCATTTGAATTTAAAGACCTTGTTTATGATCTTCTTTCCATATTTGATGATGAAATGACATGTTCCTCCCTTCCTCCCGCTACAAAGTGTGAATGAGCCCTCCCCCCCACCGCGAAGTACTAAGAGCAGCATCCTGTTTGCCTATTCCTTTGACTGGGAAAGACTGGGCCACAGTGACTTTTCCTGAGGAAAGTACCCCAAACACTTGAGGGTGTCATCTTCCACTTGCCTCAGTGATGTTCTGCAGCCTTGTAAAACCACCTGCATCAAACAATGAAAGTCAGATCCACATCCAGCTTTTGCTGCAATTCTCCTTTTACTAAAAGAGATAAAAGTGGCCATTAAGCCTGGTGAAAGGTTGGTGGGACTAAAAACTGGTGCAGCCACTGTGGAAAACAGTACGGAGGCTCCTCAAAAAATTAAAAATAGAACTACCTTATGATCCAGTAATTCCATTACTGGGTATTTAACCAAAGAAAACAAAAAAATCTAATTCAAAAAGATAAATGCCCCCCTATGTTTATCGCAGCATTATTTATAATAGCCAAGATATGGAAGCAATCCAAGTGTCCACTGATAGAAGAATGGATAAAGAAGATGTGGTATATACCTACAATGGAATATTAGTCATAGAAAACAATGAGATCTTGCCACCTGTGACAATGTGGATAGACCTAGAGAATATAATGCTAAGTGAAATAAGTCAGTCAGAGAAAGACAAATACCATATGATTTTACTTGTATGTGGAATTTAAGAAGCAAAACAAATGAACAAAGAAAAAGTGAGACCAATAAAAAACTCTCTTATATACAGAGAACAAACTGGTGATTGTCAAATTGGTGGGGGGATGGGAGAAACGGGCAAAAGGGGGATTAAGAGTAGTGGGTAATGAGCACTGGGTGATGTATGGCATTGCTGAATCATTATATCATACACCTGAAACTAACATAACATTGCATGTTAATTTTACTTGCATTAAAAAAAAGTGGCCATAGGGGCACCTGGGAGGCTCAGTCAGTTAAGCCTCCAACTCTTGATTTCAGCTCAGGTCATGATCTCAGAGTCATGAGATAGAGCCCTGCATGGTGTCCTGTGCTGGGCGTGGAGCCTGCTTAAGATTCTCTCTCTCCCTCTCCCCCCGCCCCCTGCATGCTCCAAAAGAAAAAAATTTTGGCCATTAAGCGTCACTATTTTTTGAGCATGCAAAGATATTTTATAAAACCTTTCATTTGTTTATTTGTTTTCTTAAAAAGTTACTTGATTTACTGATAAAAAAATAAGGATGCTATTGATATTTAAAGTGAAATTTCCCCTGGCAACAAGCTAGGTTCCTTCACGTACCACTCCTGCAGCTGACTTTGTGTCTCCTGTTACTATTTAAATAGAAGTACTTTTACCAGCTCCACTGTGTCCCAACAACCCCAAAACTTCACCTGGAAGAAAGAGTCACCATTGATGTTTGCACTTCAAAGTCTGACTAACCTAAAATCACTTAGTTTAGTAACATTTTGAAACAAAATAACATTTTCAAACAACCCCTTCCCAATCTTCTATTTCCAATGTGAATGGAAAGACTTTGGATTTAGAGTAGAATGCATTGGTCTTCCTGACCCAAGACTGGGTTTCTTAACATTTGAATTGGGACATGGTTTTGAAACAGAAAATGTTTCTCTGCCAACATGTCAAGTATTTTTATAATTACATGTTAACCAAGATAGAGGAACAGTCTCAAAGAATGGAAAATTTTCTCCTTTTCACAGTCCCAAACCTAAATAAATAAGGAACAACCTGATAAAGGGAACATCATCAAACCTTTTTTAATGCAGAAGGAGATATTTCTTATGGCTATTTTCTTCTTTCTTGTTGAAAAGCAACTTTCTTTTTTCTTTATATTCCTTGTGTAAACAGCTTGCCATTATGACTGGTTTCTGAAAAACATGACAAAACATGATTTTCCTGTTAAATCTCAGATATTTTGTGCACTCATGTTTTATCTTTCATGTCCTAGGTTATGAATATAACCAGCTTTTGTTCAGCCTCTTTTTTTTAAATGAAGTACCGAAATGTATGTTCATGAGGGGAGATTACTACTTAGAAAACTAATTTCTAATCAAATGCACTGTGTTTGCATTATGCCCTTGGCACCAATTTCATTTCTGGTATGTTTCTTATTGATTTCCATATAGTGTAAATTTACTTGCTAATTATAGTTATTAATGTCACAACTTCAATATCATGCAAAATGAAACTGCGACTCTTGCAAAAGATGTGAGATCTTGTTAAGGTTGATAAAAATATCAGAGAATGTTTTGAATTACACTGATGAATAAAGACCTGGCAGGTTAAGATCCACAAAAAATGGAAGAAGAGAAAATTAAGAGTCATGACAAGATAGATACTTCAAAGGATGTGATTTATATATGACCTACACATGCTAGTGTTACAAAAACAAAAGCAAGTTTTGAAAATAAAAACAAGGAGTTCATCAACTCTACAGGACAAGCTACCTAGCCCAGTGTTTTGTAAAGGGTTCAAGTTACTTGTTTTCACCTCATGGGTTCAGAGTAGTGAGTGCATCTGTTGGGTTCACTCTTTCAGCTTGAACATCTTCATCTTCTTCTGGCTCTTCTGAATTTGGATGATTTTCCCTACTTCTTGAGGAGATCCTACAGAGAAAATAAAATAACATAACAATGTGATTCTAGTTGTACAACAACTATCAAGAGAATGTAAGCCTCTACACTTAATTTATTCTCTGCTTTAAAAGAAAATGATTAATTTATTACCTACAAGATTCCCCTTGTAGGTAGCCATGTCCCTTGAAATATTTTCTTTGACTATTGTCTTTAAAACCTTTTATCCCATCTGTCAACTAGCTCTGGCAATTCCCTCAGATACAGACTTATCAGTGTTTTCAGTCTGCTGCTGTCCAGACCGTCCTCACATTACATCATAAATGATCACCAGAATTGGCTTCTCTTCCCTTTTCAAAACATTCCGCACACATACTGAACACACCAGCTCATTATCATGTCTTCTCCTTGGGGACTGAACTTGCTCTAAGCAGGAGAAAAAATAAGCTTTGCTGCTTAACCCCTGCTAAGAGAGATGCACAGAACAAAAACTCAACTTGCCTAAAATCGCTAAGACCCGTGACTTCAAAACTATGTATCCCTGTATTCAATCCAATGCTGTTTTGGGTTTTTTCCCCAGCATAACAATGTCTAATGTGCCTGGTTAAAAATTGGATAGCAAATCTAACCTAATAAATTGATGTTAAATGTACTGCTACAAACATTAAATATTTAAATTATATTCAGATGTTACTAAATGTTCCTGACCTGAAAACTGGATCTTTCCTCATTGTTTTTTTTCCATACTTCATTTCCAGACACCTTATAACGAAAAGGAAAATGATACTCTGAAGGTATGACTAAAGGCAAAGAAAGAGAATTAGAATTAGCATCATCATGGGATTCAAATTCAGTGGGCAATATTTGCCTTTTCTCATGGAAGATTTGATCATTTTCTTATAAATCTGACAAAAATCTTATAAAATACTTTCACAAGAGTTTATCCAAACCAACCCTCCCATGGTGGGGGGGGGGTGGGTGGAAACGGGGCACAACTAAAAATCCTGCATTAAATTTAAAAAAAAAACTACTTTTTTAAAACAGAAAAACTGACAATATAGTAAGGACTTTTTTTTTTTTTTAATAGTAAGGACTTTTTAAGCCAAATCTAAGTGGATGTAGGGAGTAGGCTTGACAACAAAGCAACTCTCAACCTGGAGTTATTCTCCAAACCCTGAAACCTTCAAATTTCAGTTTTCACAGCATGTGCAGGAGAAGAAGACAGAAGAAAGTATACAAGCATAGTTTTCTTCCAAGCAAGGACTAGAAAGTGAAAGGTGATCCTTTCACTAATAAAGTAGGGTCTCAAAGGGTTTTACCCTTAGTGAAGGACGTAAAGAACACATGGGAAAGCTGACTGTAGGGAATGAAGCGGAAAGAGAAGCCAGCCTATGCACAGATTTGTAGCCTAAATTCACATCACCTGAATCATCCAAAATAGCTCAAGCCCAGAATTTAGTTAAAAGCAGTACCAAACGGGTAAGCATCCCAAAGAATTTGGCAGAAGCAAACAAATTGGAATAGATATCCCAGAAATAGACCCTGCATATGTGGGCATTTTATATATGAACAGAGGTAGCCCTGAATATCAATGGAAAAGCACAGGCTTTTCAACAAGTGGTGCTGGACAATTGGGTATCTTGAAAGAAATGAAATAGGACCCTTACCTTCCAACATGGAAAAAAATCAAGTTCAGATGACTGAAAACATAAATGTATAAGGAAAATATACATACATCTTTTAGAGGACGATATAAAAGAATATTTTCATGACCTCGGAGAGGGAAAAATTTCTTAAACATTATGAAAAATGAAATAAAATGCATTCATTATCTTAATAGATTTAGTAAAAATTTTTTTTATTCTTTTTTTAAGATTTTTATTTATTTGTCACAGAGAGCGCACAAGCAGGGGGAGTAGCAGGTAGAGGGAGAAGCAGGCTCCCTGCTGAGCAAGGAGCCTGATGTGGGACTCCATCCCAGGACCCTGGGATCAAAACCGGAGCTGAAGGCAGATGCTTGACCAACTGAGCCACTCAGGAGTCCCAAATTTTGATTATTCTTGATGCACACAACCTTTGATAAAATTCAAGACTCATTCTTGATAAATAAATCAATAAGCAAAGACTACAACCTCTAGTAAACTAGGAATTGAGAGAATTAATAAATACTTGATACTATAAACAGTTAACAGAATGCTAATGACGAAGTACTAAGAAGATTCCGAGTAAATTCATAAACAAGGTAAGGATGCCTGCCAGCAATAGCATTACATTCCAGGGTTGGTTTGTTCTGTTACCCAGGATTGCACATTGTAATGAATATATGCTCTAATCAAACAATTGTATAACTTTAGTATTTATTAGTGGTCAATTAAAAATAATTGTGTGCAGAACATCTCTGCATTTATTTACAAAACAAAGAATATACATTTGATATACAAAGACTCGTGGAAATGTATATAATTTCTAAAATTTATAAATTTATAAAAACTTAGGAAATCTTCCTCAACAAATAGTTTTCTGCCATTAAGAGAAAAAAAGAGGTCTGTAATCCATTTTGTTCCTCTTTTCTGCCTCAGTTACCACAATGCACAGATACAACATTTATATTTTATTTCAGTGTCTTTCTCCTGTTTAAAATTGCACTTAAGGGGTGCATGGGAGGCTCCATTGATTAAGCGCCCCACTCTTGGTTTCAGCTCAGGTTATGATGTCAGGGCTGTGAGATCGAGCCCTGAAATAGGCTCCACACTCAGCGGGGAGTCTGCTGGGAGACTCTTTCTCTCCTTCTCCCTCTCCTCTGCCCCTCCCCCTGCTTGTGCTCTCTTTCTCTCTAAAATAAATAAAATCTTAAAAAAATAATAATACAATTCCACTTAATTTTTTACCTTTTTCATTACTCATATTAATTTTTTTATCCATATTTAAATGAATTTTAGTCATACAGCATTTGTGGTATTTATATATAAATCACTTCAAATTGTCTTCGGATATATATCATATCAATAACATATATTACAATAATAGCAATCAAGTCTTTAGTATTTCTGGTATATATTATACTGTCATTGACTCCATATAGAAAAATACCCTTGGGGCACCTAGGTGGCTCAGTTGGTTAAGTAATGGACTCTTGATTTCGGCTCAGGTCATAATCTTAGGGTCATGGGATTGAGCCTCACTCAGGCTCTGTGCTCAGTGGGGAGTCTGCTTGGGATTCTCTCTCTCCCTCTCCCTCTCCCCACTCATGCTCTCTCTCTCTAAAATAAATAAATAAATCTTTTTTTAAAAGAAAAATACCTTTACGTTTTGCTGCCATTGTATTCGAATGTAGAATATAGTAAGAATGAGTATTTTTAGGATATTTAAATTTGCCGTTATTTGAATAAGATCAAATATATTACAGGGGCGCCTGGGTGGTTCAGTCATTAAGCGTCTGCCTTCGGCTTGGGTCGTGGTCCCAGGGTCCTGGGATCAAGCCCTGCATCAGGCTTCCTGCTCAGCGGGAAGCCTGCTTCTCCCTCTCCCACTCCCCCTGCTTGTGTTCCCTCTCTCACTGTGTCTCTGTCAAATAAATAAATAAAATCTTAAAAAAAAAGATCAAGTATATTACACAGTTATGAATCCTATGCAATAGACATTCTGGTAGAAAATTTTTCTTATGATTAAGACTGTTAAGTAGTGCCTTCCTTGATTTCATTATCCAGACCTTCCAAGTGTCTCATACATATATGGGATAGCTGTTGAAAGAAAACAAAGGCTAAATGAAAGTCTCTCTGCTTGATGCATATAAAATCTATACACTAAATATGCATATATTGTACTTGATGTTCCATGGGGCGCCAGGGTATAGTCCATGAACTGGGATAAGACTTGTTCTCTGATACTAAAGTCTGTTGATGAGCTGACATTCTTCCTTGGTTGTAATCTCTAATACTTTCTATCTTCTAATTTTATGTAGTAGGGATTTGCAGATTTCTTTTTTTTCATCTAGCCTGATATCATTTTTTTTAAAGATTTATTTATTTAATAGGGACAGACACAGTGAGAGAGGGAACACAAGCAGGGGGAGTGGGAGAGGGAGAAGCAGGCTTCCCGCTGAGCAGGGAGCCCAATGCGGGGATCGATCCCAGGACCCTGGGATCATGACCTGAGCCCAAGGCAGATGCTTAATGACTGAGCCACCCAGGAGCCCTAGCCTATTTTTTTAAAAAATTTTTTATTGTTATATTAATCACCATACCTTACATCATTAGTTTTTGATGTAGTGTTCCATGATTCATTGTTTGCATATAACACCCAGTGCTCCATGCAGAACGTGTCCTCTTTAATACCCATCACCAGGCTAACCCATCCTCCCACCCCCCTCCCCTCTAGAACCCTCAGTTTGTTTTTCAGAGTCCATTGTCTCTCATGGTTCATCTGCCCCTCCAATTTCCCCCCCTTCATTCTTCCCTCCTGCTACCTTTTTTTTTTAACATGTATTATTTGTTTCAGAGGTACAGATCTGTGATTCAACAGTCTTGCACAATTCACAGCGCTCACCATAGCACATACCCTCCCCAATATGTCTATCACCCAGAGACCACCCCCACCACTCCAGCAACCCTCAGTTTGTTTCCTGAGATTAAGCTTGATATTATTTTTAATGTGTGAATATTATATATTTTGTTTGGATGTATCCTAATGTCTATGAAAATTCTCAGTATTCTTTTTCTTTTTTTAAAGATTTTATTTATTTATTTGAGAGAGAGAGAATGAGAGATAGAGAGCATGAGAGGGAAGAGGGTCAGAGAGAGAAGCAGACTCCCTGCCGAGCAGGGAGCCCGATGCGGGACTCAATCCCGGGACACCAGGATCATGACCTGAGCCGAAAGCAGTCGCTTAACCAACTGAGCCACCCAGGCGCCCGAAAATTTTCAGTATTCTTTCTGGAAAATTCTTGCAGTGTTCTTTCTGGTTACTGTTCTGTTTTCGTCATCCTCATTTCCTTCCAAAAACCAACTGAAGCTGATCAGAATGTTAAAACCCAAACAACAGGAGACAGCTAATTTTTTTACAATTGTAAAATAACTAGAAATAGATGTTAAATATCAGAATAAGATAATTATTGAAATTAAGCACTAAATTTAGTCTTGCATCTCTATCAGTTCTATAAAATAGGTAAACAAGGGAGACTATATAATTCTCTCTATTCATCTTATTAAAAATGAATGTTTCCTTAGAAGAGTCAAATATTTTTTCTGCCAGTAAATCTTAAAATGGATTTTTAAAAATTACTACCATTTAGTGGTCTTGGCAGGAGATATATATACACACACATATATATATAACAGTTTAAGAACAAACATCATTTCAATCCTTTTAATAGGCTCAATGGAATAAAATTAAAAAAATATCTTTGACTATAGCTTTACAATCATTCCGATTCATGAATGAATGAATTCAATAAAAAATGAATATTTTTTATCTGCCTTCTGTTAAGAAAATACTATAGAGCATTAACTATTCTTTTAAGTTTTTATTTTAATTCCAGTTAGTTACATACAGTGCTATACTAGTTTCCAGAGTACAATATAGTAATTCAACAGTTCCATACACTACCTTGTGCTCATTAAAGAGTGCACTTAGGTTAGGGGAGTGCACTTAAGTTAGGGGAAATGATAAAGTACAGAACTGTGAGGTAGATCAGATTTATCAACAGTTGCCCCAAATTCTCAGTAGTGCTTGGTTTCTCCCAGCAGTGCTTTGTAGCAACACACTTTTCTTCCCTTACCAATCACACCTCCAAAGCAATTTA